TCGATGGAGAGAGATTCCCTCTTTATAGCTAGCACTCCAGGAGTGGTGGCAGGCACGCACAGCTGCCTGCTCCAAATGCTCAGCGTTGCACTCTTGTCCCTCTCTTCACAAGTGCTGGTGTATTTTGGCTCAAAGGTGAGGGATCAGAGCTACTTATGTTGACTGCTGCTGCATCTCTGGGGATGTGTACTGTTAGTCCTGACAGGTAGGGATTTGTTTCTAGTGTTTTGGTTTTGGCCTGGAAGAAGAAAAGGGGGGGAAAAAAAAAAAAAAAAAAAAAGAGGAAGAAAAGGACTTTCCCAGCTGGGAAACTTCCTGTCTAAGACATTGCTGAGGAAGTACTGCAATATTCTGGTTACTAGTCAAGATGCCTTAAAAAAAAATCCCATTTCCTCCCTTCTGAGAGGGTACCCTTGCAATAAGGCGGTCCTTCCATGCCACAGCCTCTGCTTTCACCAAGCAGTAATTTTTCAGCTCTTAAGTTTCCTCCTAAATCCTTATTTCCAACTGGCAGTCACTTTGGTTGCTCTCTGAATCTCCTACTCATCACGCAGCTCTATGGCCACTGCCTGCCCAGAACCAAACACAGCATTTACCAAGTCGTGCAGGGAAGGAGATTCCTGCAGCTTGCACTGCATTTTACCCATCTAAACGCTGTGGCTTCATATCTCAGTTACTGCCACTTTCAACTCCATGGTTTTCTCTGAATACTGGTAGTATATCTTTTTCCTTTAGTTGCTATTAAGTCAAATACAATTAGTTACCTGTTTGAACTGTGTAATTGTCTATGGCTTTTTTCCTCCGTTACTGCCCAGGTAAATATCAAATTACAGTTTCTCTCTATCCTCTACATTAGGGTATGGGAACAAAACATGTTTGTGACTCATCCCTAACCCTAATCACTGTTACATAAACATCTGACACCTCTTCAATGGCTGTATCAAATGCCCTACTAAATGCCAGAGGATCTGTCTTTAGAATAGCCTCAAAGTATTTGTAACCGCCAAAAAAGTACCTTTGCTTGCTAAGTTACATTATTTCTCCAGTCTGCTGGCACATCCCTGTTGCTCTATCACTTATCTAAATAATGATCGGAACGATAGCAAGTCCATTAGCTGATTCCCTTACTGACCAGCGCAGCAAATTATCTGGACTCCCACTGTGCTGCAGTAAGCTTACATTTCACAAATATTTTCCTACTTGCCTTTTCTCTGTAACTGCATTACATCCTCATTGATTTGCGACTGTCCCTCATTTCAAGTATTTTTAAATAGATTTCCACCATTTCGGAGTTCTCAATCTCACTTCAGAGCTCCTGTATTAATAGGCCTTTTGTATTCCTTTCCCCACAGACCTGTTTGTGAAAGCTCTTCTTTCCTTAGCCTGCTGGCTGTTGTTAATTTATTGTTGTTGATGCCCTTAGCTTTATTCTCTGAGGCTTAAATCTAGTCAGTTGATTATTTGCAGTCCATCTTCCTTCACTGAACGCGAGGCTACCTTGCCGCTTCCTGCTGCGTGTAGTGAAACTACGGAGCACGTGGCAACTATGCTGCTTCACATTTAAGACAAAATTGTAATGCTTTCTGAGGCTTGCTTTTTTTTTTTTTTTTCCCTTCTCTTCCCTTTTCAGCTATTTGCTCACGTTTTGAGCTCTCCTAGTGCTGCTGAGTATCACCTGGAGGAAAAAGCGCAGAGAAAAATTCCATTTGTCAGATGCTGGGTTGCTTCCTCTGCTGGGGCAGTGGAGGGTTTTTTCCCCTGTACACAGCCAGTCTCGAGTGCTGCTCTCTGAGGATTAATCCATGATCCTTTGGAAACCAAAACCCCCAAATCATTCTTCAAATTAGTTGTTTGTACCACACCACAGGAATTTCAGTGACTCATAAATCCTATTATTTCAAAGTAAGTACTTGAAAAGATCATGTGGAGCTTGAATGTTCTAGCCTCTTTCACAGACCAAGTTCTTCTACTAATGGGGACATGTTATACCTCTTTGCCTGGATGTCCACCTCATGATTCCTGTTCTAAAACGAGGCATGGTAAGCGAAATCTGTGAGCTTGCTGCCATGCTATATGTGTTTTTATATGCCAGATCACAATATTACGACTTTCTGGAAAGCAGCCACATGCCAAACAAAAAGGCAGTTGCAAAAAGGAAAAGTTAAGAAAATGGAAGGATTGTAGCTAAAAGGAAGAAATTATTTAGCCATCTTTGTACTTGCAACCAACTTGGATACCAAGTATACCAAAAGCAGAACAAGGAGGAATGGCAAAAAAAAAAATGAAATGCAGTGCAAATGTTGGAACAGATTGCTTTGATCTACTGACAAATTGTTGCTTATCTTCTGCAGTTCAGTAAGCCCACTAGAGCAATACTATTTCCTTCTATCCCATCCTACCCTTATCTCTACCTCTGCAGCCAAATACGCAGCTTGCCTCTTGCTAGCTAAGTCTTATCACGCTGCTCTCTGCCATCTTTTTAGATGCTCAGAAGCCCATTTGGGATGAAACGTCAAGTCTTAGTATCTCTGTAATAGTGGGGGTTTGACTTTTCTTTGAGGGTGAGGAGGTGATCTAAAAAATGCATTTGGTCAAAAAATTTGATCAAACATGAATTTTTATTTGATGTCATCTAAATTAGGAATACCTCCCTTTAACCTATTTTGTAATGGCAAGGAGACCTAGGACTTAAATTCCCTTCTACCCTTGGGTAGCTGTAGGCTGGAATGATGTTTGAGAACATCTAACCAATGTCCTCTTGAATACATATGGCAGACTATTCAGATTTTTCAAGGCCCTACAATTTTTTTTTTTTTTTAAGCAAAAGCACTTAAAAAAAAAAAAGCATTTCTGCACTTCAGAGCCTTGAAAGCTCTCGGTGCAGCTGAGCAGCAACAGCCTGCTGAGGTATTCTAAGAAAGACTAAAGGTTTTAGCTCATCACTTAAGTTCAAGAGCAAGCTGCTTTAAGCTCTTATGTAGCACAGCAGTGGCACTGAGGTACAGAAGCTTAAAAATCTTGCAGTGGCCTTGTGTGTAAAGACACTTCAACTTAATAAAGACAGCTTTGGCATTTGTCAGAGGTAGCCTATCCTTAACTGTGACTTAGAACATTCCTCCTTTTTTGTTTGTTAGCATAGTCATTTAAGAGGATGAGTATAAGGAAGAAAGATGAGGAAAAAAGCACAGGTGAATTCAAAACAATTACTGCTTTAAATGTAAGGCAGAACCATCCACGGTCCTCTAAAACATGCCATGGGCTCCTTAGGGTTATCAGCAAGACTCAATTCTATATTTACTCCAAAATATACTCTTGCTAGGCTACAATGCTGCTTTAATACAAATAATAATAAGAATTATAGGAATTTTAAAAAAAACTTGTAGCTTTCTGATACAATTGGGTCTGTGAACCACTAAGGCTTCACAAATGAAATTTGGGAAAGGGTATATAGCATGTCACAGAATGAGTCCAGGCACTTACGGTATTCATCAAGCCACAAACACTTTTTCTTTGGTTGTTGTTAAATACTTTATTTTTACAAAAGCAAATGTAACAACTTCTGTAAAGATGGGGGTTTTCCACAACTGCAGTGGCAGAACAGATTTTGGTACGTTCCTCAGTCCCACTGCTAAAATGTAACTGGCATAAGTGATCCAGAGCTCAGTGAGCCCTGATGGATGCCCATGTCTTAACGTGTGCAAGTCTTAGACTGCTCTGCAGACTCCACCTGGAAAAACACATTTCCTAAAAATGAAATGGAACTCTGGGCCAACCTATCAGTATTTTGTTTGTAAGTTGCAGGAAGCCTGTGCTGGGTCATTAACAACAACAAGCAGATGCCTTGTTTTGTCTACAAAACAATCACCAGAAAAATCCATATAAGCAACCCAGTACTGTAACATAACATATGCAAGTTTCTGTAACACCTACACTGAGCACACGGCCTGAGGAACCTGGATTTCTGTTAAGGCTGTAGAGTGCCTACCTGTGGCCCATCATCCTAAACGTTAAATTTGTTCACGCTGTCCTAGCGTACGCTACAGACCTTTGGCAGGAAAGGCAGCTGCAGTGAAGTTTTAAGTGGGACCACGAGTCCATGCAGCAAGAACTGAAATGTTACCTTCAACTGTTAAAGAAACAATCAATTTATTTATGTATAGCCTGGAGTAAGCTTTTGCTTTCCTCTTAAATATGAGGTTGGGTAATTTTAAACCATTAATGGGAGGGCCTGGCCAAGAACAAATGTTCTCTTCCCCGACTCTAGTACCTCCTCTGGAAGATTTCTGACCCCTGCTTTATAGCATCTTGGCAAACTATATACCTTAATATCCTCAGTTCAGAAAAGGTATTGCTAATATATGCACCCATCAAGTTTTGAGGACCAGACAATGCAATTCCATCACTTCACATAAATGTAGTCAGTAAGTAGTTTTGCAATTGCTTGCAAAGTTTCATCTCAGAGGTGTCAAAATAGCAAACCACAAGCTCCTATTCGTGATGAAGGCTTTCAAGGCTGTCCTCTGTATTGCATCAATGCATGCATTATGACCTCAAGCAGAATTAACTAATAGAAGCTGAACTGCATCAACTGGGAGAGGTAACCGACTCCTGGGTGACAGAAGCACGTAGCTAGGTACAGAGCATGTGGGAGCCCTCCGTCTCCAAACACAATTGCCAAAGGCTGCACCAACCCTTTAAATAAGGGGCAAAAGATGCAGTCTTGCATGGCAACCATTTCTTTCCAGCATTCTACTCTGGAAAGTAGACCTTTGTAGGCTGTGAAGACCCCAATGGAGCATTCTTACTTTTGACAAAGCCTTTTTAGTAAGAGAAATTCACAGTCCAGAAGATAAAATGGAACTTTAAATTTTACTCTCATGAATTCATTTCTCGGAAGCAAAAGGTCTGTTCCAAAATAACCAAGAAATGATAAAATACTATCTTCAAATGTTTATACCTCTGAGTTTATTATTGCAGAAGATGTAGAGATGAAACAAAAATTAACTCAAACGGAAGCATTTTATTACTCAAACCACAAAATAGTGTAGTTGAGGTATTGGAGAAATTACAAAAATGTGTTATTTCAGAATAAACTTAAAAGTCCTAAACATTTAAAAGTTCTAATGGTGGTGGCTTAAGAGGAATCTTCCCCATTGTAAACTTTTTTGCTTCAAATTGTTTCAGCTCTTCAGCTGATAATTTGCTCTTTGGTGTAAATAACTTTTCTGATGTAGTATTGTTTGTGACTGCAGAAGATGCTGATGTGATGTTTTGTCCAGAGGCACTGGCAGTCTGTCCAAATAAAATACTGCTTGAATGTGAGGGAGCAGCTGCTGCTGCTGCATTAAAGGCTCCAAAAGCTGTAAGCGGAGTGGTGCTTGAAGAGTTCACAGCAGAAGAATTGCCAAACCCTGAAAACCCAGAAGTTCCAAAACCACTAGTTGTTTCAGAAGTTTTAAATGAGAAGGAGGCTGCAGATGGAGCAGCCAGGCTGCCAAAACCAGCAGAATGGGATATGCTAGGAGAGGACGTCACACCAAATGCAGGAGGATTACAATGAGCAGAAGAGCTCCCAAAAGCAGGGGTGTTTCCAGATGATGCACTGACAAGGCTGGAACTTGTTTTAAAGGAGAAACTGCTAGCACTGTTACTGCTGCTGTTCACAGGAAAGCCTGCAATTATAAAATATATAAAAAAATATTAGAATGTGCACACCCGTGATACGTCTCCTCTATTTCAATAATGCAGAAGAATTAAAACTCAAGAAAATGTTGAGCTGTTGGTTCTTAACGCAGGAACTTACTTGATGACCCAAAGCTTGATGTTTGCTGTCCTCCAAATCCAAAGGCAGGCAATGGTTGATTGACCATGTTCTTTAATTCAGAGAGCTTAAAAAATTCCAAATACAGAAATGAAAACTAGATTCCAAAACAGGGAAGTGTCTTTCAATAAATACTTGAAGCAAAAATACAGCTGCCCAGCCCGATTTAATACAACTTAGACTGTTAGACACTGATCACTCATCACGACTGCACATTCTCGTAGCTGTGAACAAAATGCTTTAAGGCTATACACTATTCTCTGTAAAACACTCCAGAAACAAATATACTACAATTTACAGATTTTTGTCTGTCAGTCATTGACCTGAACACCTCTTCCAGCTCTCATTCTCATCTCTTACCTATTTCAGTTAGTGCTTTATGACACTATCTATGTCATTGCTTTGACTTCGTCTGTTCTCTCCCCTTGGCACATCCAGTCTTCTGTGCTAAAGCCCAAATCCCACTTCACCTTCAGCACTGAACATGCCAAGGGTATTACTAAAACTTCAATGCACTTCATACAGACTCCACTTAAATCAACTTATTCTTGTCTCCCTGATTATTTACAAGCACTCTTTTCTGACACATCGAGATTCACAATGTTTGTCACCTTCCCAGAACAACCATTCTTTAGTTCTTCAAATTGTATCCAAGCAGTTTCTCTCCCACCTATCTGTCAATTGCTCACTCTGGCATTGCCAAAATGCTTTTTTTATCCTAAGATGGCCTGGAGGACAATTCTGGTCTCGTCTGCTGATTATACCTTGGACAAGTCAACATCAGCACATGGAAGAAAAGGTGAGGTGGATATTTGCTTCTTACTACACATGTACTTGACCAGATCCCAACCTTAAGCCATGGCTACTTTCACGTGGCTTCCAATGGCATTATTCCAAACCTTGCTAGCTGCCTTGCTAGGACAGAACCATCCTGATTTACTACTCTCCTTAGTTAACTAAAGGGTTTTATAATACCTGCCTGAAATTCACTGATTTCACAATTCCAGAGAAAGGTGGATGTGAGACCCAAAACTGTGTTCAACAGACTTTCACGTTCACCTGACTCAGGCAGTGTGAGAATATTCGGTGACATTTCTATCACCTATAAAAACCACACAGACAGAGAGATGGGGCATTTTTCAAACCGCAGTCATTATTCTCTTATGTAGTTCCTCCTAACACCCTTCCCACTTTCTCTAACGTTCCCAGGAGCGTTCTAAGATTACTGTCAAGGTCTTCATGCCACCAGCAAGCCAAACACTTTCATGCCAGATGTTTTTCAAGGCTGCAGTGCCAGACTGTAACACATCATGGTTGAGATTTTCAGAACAGTTCGTAGATCTACCATAAAATTCCCAATGAATCTAGGAATGAAACATTTTCACGTCTCAGCTATTTAGGTGCAAACAAGGATGCCCTAAAAGAATCGTGTATACTTGGTTTTAAAATATAGTATCCTGCGATCTTCAAAGCCATACCTATCACCTATTTATATAAAGTTAGTAAAAGTGTAGTTAAATACTTTGATAACAGCTGAAGTTTCTATGGAACATTTGCAAGATCTCTTCATTAAACATAAGGTGGCACATTACAACTATCATGTCATAGAAATCTGTGTAGCAGGAATTAATGTTGACATTTGCAGCACAGTTTGGTGGGATGTCTAAAAAAACCATGAATCTAAGAAAAAACATTTGCCCAAGGTTAATTAAAAAACTACATCAGGAACAGAAACATTTTACCTTTCATTAACACTTACCAAAGCTGCTCTTGTCGATGCATTTAAAGTTTTCAACTGAAGCAGCCGATTTCTCCATTGCTTCGCTAACTGTTGGACAGAATTTGTCTAAAAAGGGGGAAAAGAAAAGCATGGTTTTGTTATTGGTGAAGACTTTAAAAAAAATCAGAGTGATCTGACAACTAAACTGAAAGAAGATTTCTAGAATTAGAAAAGAAACTTCATTAAGCCAAGAAGACAAGATTTTTGCTTTCCTGAAACTTCAAGGTGAAAAGCTGAAATTATTGCTATTAACACAGAATTCCTTTCAATTCTCTTACTATTGCCCTTAAATCAACTTTTTTACTTCCCGTAACAGTAAGATTAAAAAAACATCCTGGGCCTTTCTAAATCTAAATTCTATCACTATCTAAATTAGGTGCTTGAGGGGGGGAATAAAAAACAAACCCAAACCACACACAAAACATGTAAGTTTTAAGTATAAGAGAACAAACTCTTCAATCCTTGTTTTATTTCTGGCTTGTCCACTTACATGGTCACTCATTAAGCTGAAGTCCTAAGCCTTAGCTTCTCCCACATTTTCAGAAAAAGGACACCCACTTTCAAAACATGATAATTCAGAACACTTCAATAGTATTATCCTAAAATATTTAGCTCTGCAGAAATTAACTTCCTTAATTTGAATCAGCCCCTTTAATGTGATCCAACAGATTACTGCACAGAACATATACAGCAATAAATAGCGCCTGCGTCTATCTGATAATTGTGATTAAACAAGAAACTGGAAAGTCATTAAATAACTTACTTTTCAGGAAATTCAAACCTGAATTTCCTATATTTAAGTTTATCAACACACCTTACTCGAAGCCTGGCCTAACTGGATTTTTCTTAAAAACTAACCAAGTAAAACATATGTCCCAAGTGCCTGTAAGAACGGAATGAGTAATCTTTTTGTAAATACTTTCCTTAATTTTTCTAAAGGGTCTTACAACACAAACATCAATAATTCTTTTGTGTCTAGTCACATGCTGGAAGATCATGTTGCTTGGTATCGGCTCTTATACAACAGACTGGAAAATTTAGATTTTGACCCAGTTTAAGAATAGAAACACATGCTTTGGAAAAGACATGTTGTACTTAAAACATTTTGTGAGAGAGCTGTATCACACAGATATCATCTATACACCGAGACCTTCATGAACTTGCATTCAGTGCTTCAGTGAGGCCACAAATGTGGGGTTTTTTTTAATAGCCTTGCATAATATATTGTTTCATCATTTCAGTTTATTCTTTTAAGTGAAGTTTGGGGTTTTTTCTTAAATCTCCTCTCTCCTGTCTCTGAAAATGCAATTCTGGTAATTCTAAACACGTGAAGCAAGAGCAGTGACAACAGCTTTTCCTTCTGTAATACAACACTGAACTGCGCTAGCTTCCTTGATATTACTAGGACTATGAGGAAAGAAAAAATTTTTTTATATATAATTTATATATATATATAAAAACATATATATTGCTTCTTTTCTAGAAACGTATACTCCTTTAGAAGCATCTGCTATTTTCAGCATTAAAGTGATATATATTCAGCTAGAAAGATCAAACTGGCTAATAGCATACAAAGTATTGAACTTTTGAGACAGGGTTCAAGTAACTTCTACAAATAACACACAAGAGCAAGACAAGGAGCCTCTAGGTTTAGAAAGACCACCCATTTAACTGAGACTAGCTGAAAGTCTATTGCCACCACCTTTTGTAGGTGCTGATGTGGCTAGATGTCTAGGCCACCCATTTTAGAAGCCCAGATCTGACAGCTTTAGCCTCTGATTTCAGACAGAAATAGGAAGTTACAGCAGAGCATACAGACTAGCAGCTATTTTTACGTTCTATTTGGTGCACAGTAATTTAAAAACATTTTGGCATTCTGATAATCTCCTAGAGTTTAGTAATTAAATGAGTCAAGAGTTGGCACCTGAAGAATAGTAACAAGTCCTACCTCGAAGTACGTTCATGTAAAAAGTCAGCATTTTTTAAATACTTACATAGTTCTGAATGTTATTGTTTTCTCTGCAGTTATAATACTCCAGACGCAACTCTTCTGGCGAGAAATCTGTAAAGCCTGTAAGGAGAGGAACAATCAAAAATCTCCACGAAAATACATGCATATTTCCAGTTGCTCTCTATAGTTGTGAAGAAACGGGCCTTGGTACATCATCTATAAGTCAGTCACAGTCGGAGACACAAAAAGGATTCATTACAGAGTTTTAAAGATGTGAATATCCAAAATGAATTTGCCATAATCCAATATTCCTTTCTGTTGCATCACAAGGCAAATCATCACCTTGCAGATGGTTCCACAGGGGTACAACAGAGTGGACAAGCATAAGGAACATCCTAAACAGCAGCAATAGGTGGCAACACCAAAAACATTGCCTACCTGAGACATTCGGCTTTTCTTTCATCGGTGAATAAGATGAAAGTATCCACTGACCTGAAGATTCCCAAATTTCCATGTCTTTCACTACACACTCGCTAGAAAACAAAACCAAATAAAAACCACAGATGAAGGTGAAATTATACGGCCAAAACAAAACCACCAGAAGCAATTGTCTAGTTTGAATCCGATGCCAGATTCAAATACCTGCTGCTATGAAAACAAATGAAGTGTGACACTAGTCAGAATGAACAAGAAAAGTACTTGGTTCTCTGTGGAAAAAATGCACTTATTTGGCAAGATACATAAACGTCCCTTCAAAGTGTTTTACTTTATCATCTAACTGCAAGTAAATCAAGCCAGATCTTAAAAAAAAAAGCCAAAAAACACAAAGTATTTTTTAATCCTCATATGGCATATACTGTCACACTATTTTCCCTGAAGCTGTCGATCACAATACAATTTAAAACCTTCTCAATAGCAGATAATTTGATGATATAAATGAACATGCACAGTATTAAATAGCAAAATGCGGGGGGGGGGGGGGGGGGCATATTAGAAAAAATAATGGAAAGTGGTTCCAAAACCTTGCTTGCTCAGGAAATCACACTGCCTGTTGCTTCTCATCGCCTGCCCTGTAATCGCCTTGAACCTGCTGGTCACTCCCAGCTCACTCTCACATACACGCATACGAAACCAGGCTTCAGGAGTTTTACTACGGGCAAACCAATTTGTTATCTTAAGCATCAAGAAATCTAAGTCAAACAGTTAATTTTCTCAAAGAGTTGTTGGTTGGTTGGTTCTTTTTTTAAGTAGTTAAAACACTGTCCAAGGGGCTCTGACCCCTTACTTTCAAGCACCAAAATCTTTGTTTCCTTCTTTATCCTCCTGCCCACAACTTAAACACCACACCATCTTACTAATACCACAGTTGTCTAGCTGCCCAACCCAGGTTCAACACGAGGACCTCTTTCTTTCTTCCCACACTGGTGTAACTCAAGAGAACTGAACGAAGTAGTGTTTTCTCCAGTTCTTACTACACGTCCCAGCTTCCTCCTCGCGATCGTGTCCCCTGCGTTATCTCCAGTCAGTCAGTAAGCTTTTAAACTGCCCATTCTAAATGCTTCCAGTGAAACAGAACTATAACTTACAGAAGTCTCTCGTCTTCATCTTTATAGCCATCAGCAATACTTTGACTGTTCATCAATGCAGAGAATCTGTTCTGTGAAAAGTCTGCATTTCTGCTGCTGCCGCCTGATGATCCAAAATCAGAGGAGCCAAAAAATCCTCTTCCTTGATCTCTGCTGCCACCCCACGTATTGGACTTAAAGGTAGATGGCTGGATAACATTAGTGTACCTCTGGTTAGCGGTACCCCATCCTCCTCCTCCTCTGCTAGTACCTTCCAATTAGAAAAAAGAAAAAAAAGCAAAGAACAGAAATTTTAAATCATCAAGATATTAAACAATACAACATCAACAAAAACTGTAAGTGTAGCTATTCTTATGGTGGCAATAATAAGTTTGAAAAGGAAATGCACTTTTTTCTTAATGAGTTCACCTAATTATTTAGTGAGCTTAACCTAGTGAGTTACCCAGGGTAGTTCTGGAATCAGAGGTAAATGTGAAATCCTCCTCACATCACCATGCCAGCAACAACTGATACACTACAGAAAAGAGGCTGTTTCAGTTTTGCTTATCTTGTTTCATAAAGTAACTGTCCCAGTAGAAAAAAGCTAAATTTAACTCGTAGCAGATTTACATTAGGGGCTGCTGCCTACATAGCTATAGCAAAGGCTCTGTTGCATAGCAAAGACCTCCCAAGTTAAGTTTTAAGAGCTCAGGCTCCCAAGTTAAGTTTTAGGAGCTTTTAACATTTCTACATGTTACGTACTGTCCTGGTTTCGGCTGGGACAGAGTTAATTTTCCTCCTAGTAGCTGGCATAGTGCTGTGTTTTGGATTTAGGATGAGAATAATATTGATAACTCACTGATGTTTCAGTTGTTGCTGAGCACTGCTTACACTGGTCAAGGACTTTTTCAGCTTCCCCTGGAGCACAAGAAGCTGGGAGGGGGCACAGCCAGGACAGCTGACCCAAACTGACCAAAGGGCTATTGCAGACCATAGGACGTCACGCTCAGCATATAAAGTTGGGGGAAGAAGAAGGAAAGGGGGAACATTCGGGGTGATGGCGTTTGTCTTCCCAGGTAACCGTTACACATGACGGAGCCCTGCTCTCCTGGGGATGGCTGAGCACCTGCCTGGGTGCCATGGGAAGCAGCGAATGAATCCCTTGTTTTGCTTTACCTATTGAACTGTCTTTATCTCAACCCACGAGTTTTCTCATTTTTGCTCCTCTGATTCTCTCCCCCATTCCACTGAGGGGGGAGTGAACAAGCGGCGGGGCGGGGGATTAGTTGCAGGCGCA